TTTGTAAGAAATTGCTAGTAGGATAGTGCATGGATTGTTGAATTTCATTAATCCTAGCTAGTATTTTCCTTTTTTTTTTTTAACGAAAATGTTTCCAAATGTGTGCTTATTCCAATAATTTACATTATGTTGAAAATTAGTCATAGCTTCAACTATTGAACGGGAATTTTGCCATGACTGTTGTATGACATTAATGAGTGAAGGATCTGTTGTCCAGATTTTTTCAAATCGAAAAATATTCTTTCTAGGTATTTTATTAGGTTCAAAAGTTACCAGAAGAGGGCAATGGTCCGAGTACGTACGGGGAAGGTGTTGCACTACTGTTTCAGGAAATATTTGAAGCCAATCATAATTTGTTAGGAGTCTGTCCAACCTTTCTAGTATAGTGTGTCCATTCCTTCTTTTATTTGTCCATGTATATCTACTACCTTTAAAGCCTAAGTCAACTAGTTTATTAATACATTGTGCAAATGCATCCATCCTTGTATTATTGATGGGATTTCCACCAAATTTTTCATTTTTCCTAATTACCTCATTGAAGTCCCCTCCAACTAACCATGGACCCTTATATGAATCGTGGATGCATTTTATGTTTTGCCACAATATATTACGTAAATAGGTTTAGTTATTTGCATAAATCGAAGAAAATAACCAATTAGTAGGGTTAGGCCATACCTGGACCATGCAGTGCACCTCCTGTGTAGTCATTGTAATATCTTCCACTATTACCATATCTTCATTCAACAGTAATACTATACCACCTGACATTCCTTGTGCCTCAACTTGTGCCATATGTGAGAAGTTAAAATCATTTTTTAAGACTGTGTAATCATGCATACGTGTTTCCAGTAGTACCACTAAGACAGGTCTGTAATTATCCAAAAGTGATCTGAATGATCTCCTAAATTCTGCATTGTTCGAACCCCTACAATTCCATACGATTAAATTCATGATGGGTTGTGGGTTGGTAGGTTCATCTAGATCAGCTACATCACTCATTGCTCCCAGTGGAGCATGAGTGTTCTGTTGTCTTGTAGGGTTCTGCCTCAGAGATGGGATTATTACCATTGAATATTTCCCCTCCTATTGGTTCTGATTTACCCTGAAGTTTACACTGCATGTTATGAGTTCTGGAGGGCATTTTAGTATGATTTTTTTGCATACTGCTCCTTTAGGCTGTAGAGATAGAAACCCTTTAGCCATATGAACTCTGTTCTGGTTTCCCTCATTTCCTTCATAATTTGTGCTAACTCTAGCCTTGTTTGCTCTCCCAGTGCGTTGGGCGATGGAGGTGGAGTTATTGGAGGACTGAGGAAGGGTGACATTGGTTCCTGGACACTCGTTGGAGATAGACTCATTGATGGTGGTGAGAAGGAGTTCATGTGTTGGAACGATGGTGCATATATCATCCCCTTGTAGTGTTGTGGGTAGAATGGGAGAGACCCCATTAGTTGATTGAAGCTATATAGGGGTGGAAATGTTAGGTGAGCCCATGGTGACTGTGTCGATGATGAGGGCCTTGTGTGTTCCAACATTAGTGGTGTATGGATGTTGGACCACTATGACTGAGTCATTCCTCCATCCCTAGTCTCATCCCTTCTATGACAATCTCCGCAAGGTGAGTTGGGTTCTGGACTAGTAGTATTACCTCCTGGTTGTTTAATTCTAGTGTGAAGATTAGAGAGTATCCCTGTAGCCCCATCTTTAACCACGACTGGAGTGCATATTCCAGTGGTGGCGTTTGGGATGTGTAGATCAGCGGAGTTGTAGGTTGTGGGTGAAGTGGGCCGCTCTTGATCAAACGAGGGAAGTGAAAGTGTTGGTTGTTGACCTGGTGGTTTTCTCTGAAGGTTGTGTACCAAGGTCTTTGCATTGTTGATAATTGTATTTGGTGGTGTTATATTATGATTTGGCAGGATGTTTGGATTAACAGTCGTACTAGTAGAGGTAGTGGTTTCATGGCGTATAGTAGGGGTAGGGTTAAGTATAGGCAATGAATTGTCACATGAGGTCTAATGATGATTGACCATCGGAATTGGAGAAGAGGGTTGTGTGCTTGAGGAAGGGAGTTTAGTGATTGGGCGTTGATGGATGTCATGCAAAGAGATGGCTTGTAGGTGGTCGGCAACGGAAGTTGTAAAGATTTTGTCAGATTTTTGTTCAGGTGTGGCGTGTATAGGTATATGAGGGGTTTTTGGTGGGTCAGTTGTATTGGCTTTTGTAGAAGATTAGGGTATAGTATTAGTGTCCATTAGGTTATCAGTTGGTGAGTTACTATCTATTTTAAAACCATTTTTATATGTTGTATTATTTGTCAGCATTTTAGGGTTGTTAACAATTGAATTAATTATACTATTATGGTTTAAGGTGCTTTTATTAATAAAACTATTTTTATCCACTTGAAAATCTTTTTGGGCCATTACTACATCTTTTAACAGTCTTGGGCTCATTTGTCCATCATCTTTTTATGTGGTGATAGAGCCAGGCCCATTATTTTCAGTTGCATGGGTTGAGTCCATATTCTCTAATTTACCAAACGTGTTGGCAAGAAATAGCTGAGTAGGGTTTGTGACCTTACCTGGTGTTACCTGTGTGGTTGTTGTGTCCACCGCCTTCCCTTTCCCCGTTGGAACCTCCATAGGAAGATTGTGTAATTCATTTTGTTGTCGACGTTGGGTGGTCCTGTTGTATCTGGCAGTTGTTTTTTTTTGGAATATTGACTGTTTTCCATTCGAAATCCTTTGTAGGAGTTATTGATATTGTGGAGGAAGTATGCGGTAGAGGTGTAGTAATAGTGGGTATGGAATTTAGTGGCGGTGTTTGTGAAAATTGGCAACTTGAATTTTCATGACCAAATCTTCCACATTTTGTACAGAGTAAGTTTAATCCTTCGTAGAGTATAACCTGTTTGTGATTGCCTATATGAACATGTATTTTCAGTGATTTCTCCAATGGTACCTCAATGCATATCCGGGCATACCTCCCTCTTGTTGTAGAACTTGTACAAGTATCAATCTTTTAGGAGTTGCCCTAGCTTGTTTCCTACCTTTTGTAGTATTTGAAAATCATAAAACTCCGTTGGAAGTTCTGGAAGGCATACCCATAGAGCAGCGTACGTTAGTTGTGCTGTGGAAGCAATAAATTTAGGCTCCCAACGGCGAACAGAGAGGAAGTGATTTAATATGAACCAAGGCCCCTCATGTAAAGCCTTACTCATATTTTCCTCATGATGTAAGGAAAAAAATTGCATCTCAAGTCTATAAGATGAGTTTCTTCAGTTGGTTTCCATAAATTTGTTAACTTGATTTTTAGCAATTGGTGTCCAACCAATTTTCCAAAAATCTTTACTATTATAGAATTTTTCCAAGGAGTGTATAGTCGAGATTTTTCTTCAGGTGTTAATGGAATAGAATTGTCTAAATCATCGTCATTTGATGTTTCATTAGTTAGGTCACCTGTGCTGGTGATGGGGTGTGAGTTCGAAATGTAAGTTGGTAGATAGGAATTTGAAGTTAGTGTTTGAAGAAAGGATTTAGTTGGTGCATGAATTTCAGGTTTGTCAATCTGCATACTTTGTTGATTTGGTGGGTCCAGGATTGTTTGGGGTGGATTAAGCATGATGAGTGTGGAAGAAGATGGAGAAAACAAAGATTTGGGATGTAGTAGGAGTTAGAGTAGAGAGCATTTTTGATAAACACCAATATTATTGTCCTTTTTACATAAAGTTGTCATTTTTGCGAGTTCAACCCCCTCTAGCTCGATTGAGTTTTTTACATTGTCAGTTACTAATTATATAATATTTAAATAAAGATCATTACTTTTGTTTTATTCCAAAAAGAGCACATTCATTTACAATTACAACATTTTTTCAAAATCATGTACGTTTAGTAGTCTTCAAAATTTTAAGCATAGTCCACAATTTAAGGAATTAATTTTGAACCATATTAAATTATCCATATTTCTCTCCCATCATTAATCTATACTTACCATTTTTATGAAACTTCCCGCTCTTAGAATCTCCTTTTTCATTATTATGTCAAACATAGTCTAAATAAAGTCACATTTTTATTCCATGTTCGAAGGTGTATATATACATATGTGATATAATTTTTACAATGTATATTTAAATATATACACATATGTAATGAATATATTACGTATAAACAAATATACATACTCAATATTTGTATTATATATATTTAGTGTATAATTACATATACTTGATGAGACCAATATATAGTTTAAGTATATTTGACATTTGAAATATCTACTACGTATATGTGATATATTATATATTTATTGTAACGACCCGGCCGGTCGTTTTAAGAATTTACGCCCCGATCCCCTATTAACTGCATTCCTCGTATTTGTTTCTGCTATTTTTATTTACCGGGAAGTTTTGTTTTGAATTTCAGAGTGTTTTGGGACACTTAGTCCCTAAAAGAGAGCTTAAGTTTAGAATTTGGACCGCAGTCAGAGCAGTGTGAAGACGGCCTCGTAATGGAATTCCGTTGGTTTCGTTAGCTCCGTTGGGTGATTTCGGGTTTAGGAGCATGTTCGGATTGTGTTTTGGAGGTCCGTAGCTTATTTAGGCTTGAAATGCCGAAAGTCGAATTTTTGAAGTTTCCGGTTCGATAGTGAGATTTTGATATCGGGGTCGGAATGGAATTTCGAAAGTTGGAGTAGCTCCGTAGTGTTGAATGTGACGTGCTTGCAAAATTTCAGGCCATTCGGACGAGGTTTGATAGACTTTTTGATCGAAAGCGTAATTTGAGTGTTTTTGGAGTTCTTAGGCTTGAATCCGATGTTAAATTGGTGTTTTGAAGTTGTTTTGAGCGTTCCGAAGGTTGGAACAAGTTTGAATGATGTTTTTGGATTGGTTGGCATGTTTGGTTGAGGTCCCGGGGGCCTCGGGTGAGTTTCGAGTGCTTAATGAAAGTTGAATTGGACTTAGGAAAAATTTGATGTTGGCTGAACCTGTCATAACCGCACCTGCGTGAATGGGACTGCAGGTGCGGCGCTGCAGAAGCGGCTCTGAGACTGCAGATGCATCCAGGTGAGGGAAAGCTAGAAGCCGTAGGTGCGGAAGTGTGCACGCACCTGCGAGACCGCAGATGCAGTAAACTGGTCGCAGGTGCGGAAATGGGGAGTTAATGAATTATTGTAGGTGCGGTCCAAGGGCCGCAGATGCGGTTTCACTGGTCAGAAAAGGGGCAGAATCGAGGGTTAAGTTTCAAACTTGGAAAAGTTGATTTGGGAGCTCGGATTGGCGATTTTGAGAGAGATTTTTCACCTGGGTGTTTTGGGTAAGTAATCCTTACTCAGTTTTGATTAATTTACACGAATCTATGCTCAAATTCATCCTTTAAATTCGAGATTGGGGTGAAAATTTGGAGAAAAATTGGAAATGGTTCTTAGGCCTAGTTTTGGGGTTTTGATCAAGATTTTTATGTCGGATTGGAGCAATTTTGATATGTATGAACTCGTGAGAGTGTGAGGGTTCTGAATTAGTAAATTTTATCCGATTCCGAGACGTGGGCCCGAGGGGAGTTTTGGTCATTTTTCCTAATTCCGCGTATTAGGTTTTAGTTACATTAGTTACTTGAAGTGTTATTTACAATGATTTGGGCCATTTGGAGTCGGATACCCATGGCAAGAACGTGGTATAGACTTGATTGAGCTAGTTTGAGGTAAGTGGCTTGTCAAACCTCGTGTGGGGGAACTCCCCTTAGGATTTGATACTGTGATAGTTGAAATGCCTTGTACGTAAGTTGACGAGCGCGTACTTGTGCTGATTGTCTAAAATCTTATTTTCCATTTAAGTATCTATATTTCGTATTTTACTTCACTGTTTACACTACTTGAACTTTGAGCTTACTGTTAGCTTA